AAGTGCCATTAGCTTACAAAAACTTTAAAACGGGGATGATGGATTGAATTTATGGGACTGTATTTCAAGTTTGCTGTTTCCTTACACTAGAAGGCATCTTACAGTACAGGATCAGTATAAACAGTGCTTATTTTAAGGGGAATGAAGTTGAATGTGAAAATCATTTGACCTAACTCAGAGGTAACTTTTCTGTGTGGACACTGTTTTGCTGGTGGTGTCGGGGTACCCTCCGCCAATCGTTGCCCTTGGGAAGACTGTGGGAAAGGACAGGGGCCTCAGACAGCTGGGCATGCACTGCCTCACTCTGGTAAAACCAGGGGCTGCTTAGGCCGCCTCCCCAGTGCCCCTCTGGGAACCAACCCTATCCCATCCAGCAAGCTACCCGGCTACGGCTTTTGTTACCTTTTACCCAACGGGGCTTACTTTTGACAAAGCTATCGTCCTCATTTCTGATGTTTCCTGTACTTCTGTGTCACATGGAAATTTTACTATTTCCTGGTCATTTTCTTTAACTATTAATGGCTAAACGCGACCACGTTCTCATGAACTTAAAAGAATTTGGTGGGTTTAGGTACCTTAAGAAATTCACTCTTCCTGAAAGATGGGGCCGTGAGTTAGTTGTTGACCTGCAGGCTGATTTAAATATGAAAGGGGGACAAACCTGGGAAGCTTTTCTGACCAAAGAATCAATATAATAATTTCATTAGAGATATTCTTAATACCTAATTATCAAAGCTATCCTTCTTACTAAACTAGAGGTAATACAGTCCACTTCATGCTTCATTTAGCTGGGTAAAAATGAAGGGATATTATATATACTACTGGGGTTGTAAACAAAACACGTTAATAATGCTATTAAATGGATATAACTTCTTGGCTTATATGATTACATGGATTTGAAGGTTTTATAAAGCAGTATAGTTTCTAAAACTGGCAATTAAAACTAACAATTTTCTTTATGTAATGGTAAAGTTTATTTCATTTTTTAATAACAATTAGATGACAAAATGTTTAAAATTTGCAGTTTAAAACATGCACATTCACAAAAGGCCAATGACACATAACACTGCATAGAGTTGGATATTACTCAACTTTAATGACTATTTATAAAACACAGTGCATTGAACATCGAGATAAACAAACCTGAGAAAACTACTATAATCACAGATTCAACACTCTCCACTCATGCAGCTTCACAATTTCTACAGCAGTTTCAGCAGGAATGGTTTTCATGGAGCTGAAAATACTATTTTATCTTTAATGCAAACTGCAGTTTTCCATAGTACAATAGCTGCCTTCCAAGGCTGCCTTTTTTTTTTAACCTAATAAACTTGAAAATGTGAAAAATGAAGCTTCAAGTAGTAAAACAAACAACAAACAGTATTTACTGCATTTATGGCTTCTATTCTAGAACCATGAAACATAAAAATATATTTTTTTAATATTCTGCTCACATTTTTGCAAGAGCAGATTTACCTATGGAAAGTTGCTGTTAATTCAAAATAAGCAAGTATGAAATCTAGCTTTTTTCCTACTTAAGGGAGATTTATTTGCTGAGAAGTTTTATGAGCTTTATTAAAAAAAATCCTCAGAGGTAAGCTAAACAAAAGTTTCAATTAAATTTGTTCAAATTTGTTTGTAAAATAATTTACTAAAAAAAAGTTGTGCAGAGGACCAATTAATTTATCCACTGAATATTAAATTCCAGGTAAGCCATGATAGAATTTTAAAAGGCAAAATAAACATCAAGATTTACAGCAATAGCCATGCATTGGCCTAGACCACTTTAAATATTAATTCATGCAAACCATAAACCTATCAAAAACACAGCTGCTCTCATACAGAAAATAAATCGAGATGGAAAATGGAAAACACTTATTTCCTTTCTTTCAAAATTTAACTTACATTCCATTTTAATAGCTGTTGAAGGTTAATTAAAATGCAGCAACGTATAACTAAGTTTCACAAGTGACTTCAGTTATTTTAACATGAGAAATATCAGACTGTGGTCTCTTTAAGAGGCATTATAGAAATATTCATCATCAAAAAGCATTACTTAGGTAAAACTGCATGGTGTTACGTTAAATAATTGACAAAAAGAATTCATAGGCCTGGCCCGTATCTTTGAATGGGGTGGGGATTTTCTTGATAAATTTTGTAGATGATTATGAGAGTAGAGACTTATTTGATAATACATTTTTAAAATTGAGAACCGTCAAAGATCAACTGCACAAAAATAAACACTAATGATTATTTAGCTTTGTAATAATGACATTGTTATAAATAACTTGAAAAATACAAATATACAACCTGTGACTTTCTGACTATCATTCCTTTCCTGAAAGAACATTTTAAAATGACGGTTTATAGTTGAGGTACAGTGTGCACAATGCACAGCATATTCTCATGTGACTTTTACATTGGATATTTAGAATGCTGAATTGCAAAATTAAAATATAAAATGTAATGATCAGAATAAATGCTGATTTCTCAAATTCATTCCCTCCCCAGAAATTTAGAGGAATCATTGATTCCATCTAATGACCACACAACTTATGTAAATGGTTAATATTATTGAGCTGAATATGCAGTCACCCGATTTGACTAGAAAAAGTTTTCCATTAACTCCACAATACTGCTGAAGCAGGCTTACCTCAGACAGAGTGGGGCAGGGGAGGGAGGACATACATCATTTTAAATTTACTACATTCCTGAGAAACACCATTTTCCTGCTAATAATTTCAACCATATAGCATCTTTCTGGGTGTGAGACACCAATATATTTTTATATGTTATATAAAACATTTAGAAAGTTCATATGTAATGTCACTGTGTACTGATCAACATTAATGAAGCAACTCCCAGCTTTTCGATGTGAAACAAATGAGGACTTTCTGCTGTAAGGAGGATTTTCTGAATTGTAAACATTGTAAAGCAATGGCGTTAGCATTTGCCAGGGTCCCTACAAGGGACTTTTTAATCGAAGAGTACGTGTCCTTCATTTCAGAAAATACATGTGGAAAGTCACTTCAACTGTTTATTAGAATCCTGGTTAAACTGTGTTACTTTTTTTTCCCTCGGGAAGGTTGAAAAATCAGAGGGTTTTCCCTAATTTAACACTATAGAGTCAGTGCCATTGTAACGTTACATTTTAAGTTTCGCCAGGGAGATCATTCCCTGATTCCCACCCTGACTCCCGCCAAAGAAGTGAAGAAATTGACTTAATATTGATCACTCAAATATAGAGCCATGGGACAAAAAAACATAAATTAGTCATATTTCCAGTCATGATCCTACACATTATTAACCGTGAGTATTCGACTCACGTTGAAGAGCTCCACAGGAACAATCCATGTTTCAAGATAAAATAAAACTTTCAGTTTTCTTAAGTCATAAAATTCAGTTTTATTATAGTCATCCTACTTTGCTATTAAAGTTCTGGAGAAAAATGCCCCTGGTGAGGTGAGGGCAAAGGGAAGCAACTGTCGTCTGTAACTGCTATTAGGTTTCTCTGGAGGGAGGTTTGTCATTCTTGTTTTTTAGTTTTTGTGGTTTAACCTCAACTATCACCACTGGGAGACCCAGAAAAGCCACTCTAAATATCCGTTCGGTAGACAGTTCAAGTCCGTGACTTTGGAATTTTGAAGACGAGCTTACACCTGTGGTCTCTTGAGATGTTTTGATCCACTGTTCTCTTAATCTGAACCCCAAATGGCAAGGGCCTGGGAAGTGAAGTATTTCAACTCCTTGCCCTTTTTAGGTTAGAATTATATATGTGTTATAACCTCTTTTATTTGTAGAAAATGTGGGAGGCATGCTTGTAACCAAATAGCTAAAAACACTGAGAAGGAAATGATGTATAGGTTCATTTTAAACCTAGACTGAGAAAAAGGGTGAAGAGAATGTGAAATTACTAAACTCAAGGAGTGATTTGGAAAAATCACCTCTCAATTCTAGTTGACTTTTTTTTTTTTTAAAGAGGAAGTTCTACCCATTTTGCTGGTAAGTCCACATAAAGGCAAACAGGCTTTTGAATAAAAGGCAAAAAGTTTGCTTCAATCTCTTAAGAGTATCTGAAAACTAGAATTCTTTTTTTATTTTTTCCTAAATGAAAGCATTATTTTAAAAATAGCGTAGAAAACTGGTTGTGATTTTAAAACAGCCCCTTCACCATTTATTGTTGGTAGCAAAACAGGCATTTTTAGGAGGTGTCTTGAAAATGCGGAAAATAATTAAACTGAACATACATCTTAAAGTATATTGATGAAACCAACTCACGAGGAAAAGTGTTCTTTGACTGTAAAGTTATAGGCTTGAATAAAATAGGTATTTTTTAAATGGGGAAAATGTACTATTTCTTTGTCCCAATCAACAGTATGAGACTAATTTTGGCAGCTGCTTGACAAGTGAACTGTGAAGTTAATTCTCAGTCTTAAGTATAGGGCAGTCGGCATAGCGAGGGGTGTGCTATGTGAGACAGCAGGCATCTCTAGTGGGACGAACAGGGAGAATCAAAACACAGTACAAAAGCCCATGCATTTATCTGACAGAATATTCCAAACATCTCGACAGAAGCATTAGAAATCCCACATGAACATGTAAGCATATTTTTCTTAAGAGAGAAAACTTTAAGACGAAATGATGTCACTCAATCTACCGCAGAAGCCAGATTTTTAGAAAAATCTAAATGATGATGAAACCTCATTAGAAATGACTGAGACATACAGTTTTAAAAATTGGTCTCATAATGACAGAATCACATTACCACATGTGTCCTCTAAGTTAACGAATAGAGACGACAAACAAGAAAGAAGCGTTTGTAAGGCCAAAGGTGCAACATCACAGATTTTAGTAGCAAATGCCTTGAAATACTCATTTTTTTGCAAATCACTCTTATATTTGAAAAGTCAAGCATGCAGATCTCATAGCAGAACTGGAGGTAAACTTTCTCTCAAATTTCTGGGCAAATGACTACTGAATGAAAAATACACTTATTGAACTTCTTTGGCAAACGTTTACTGAGATAATTTATGACACAAACACTTATTCATGTCTTGTTTAGAAATTTTCCTCAGTAAAGGTAAGTCAGTTCCTTAAGAATGCTGGTTTTTTTTTTTTTTTTTCAGCATATTCTGAAATCTAAGTCTGGATATCAAGAGTCCCTTTCACTTATTACCATTTTAGAGTTTCATAATGGTTGGCCGCCGTGGGGTATTTCCAATAAATTGATAGTTACAGCCCCAGAATAACAGCTTAAGAACACTGACCTATTCTCAGTTTAAGAAAGCACTCTGGCAAGATACAAGGTCATTTCCGATTTCTGTTTACAAAGACTTAGCAAATACTTTAAAAAATCTGAAAGAGATGGTGTTACAGTAGAGTTGCACAGTGCTGATGTCTATAATATACATGAATCTGAATGTCAATCAGCGACATGAGATCAGATCCACCTTTCTCCTCCTTGGACCAGGCTGGAATGGGCCGGCAGGTTCCGGTGAAGACGGGGGAGCTCTCCTCAGAGCCGCGGCAGCGCCTCCTGGCAGCCCCTCCCCGTCACCATTCATCAGGTCTCTGCTTTGTGGTATCGTAGGCCCTAATCACTTCTGACTGTGAGACGATTCCATTTTCATCTTGAGAGAAAGCATACCCGTCTGCAAGTTAAGATAAAATAGAAAAGATCATCATGAAGTCACTGAGAATCTCTGTTCCTCTGAGTTCTGAGTGCTCATTTACTAACTTGGCAAACTAATCCACTCCCCGCCCCCCTCCAAAGCATGAAGACACACACTTCTAATGTCAAAAAAACCCCAAATCCCCCCCAAAACCCCCACAGACTCGAGTGCAAAATGAAGAGTGGGATGGACGACTGGCTTAGATTCTCTAAGTTCCACTCCCTTGACGAACAAGCCAGCACTCCCAACCCCTCTCAATTCTCCATTCAGCACCACAGGTCCAATCCACCTAATTTTTGCATCTGGGCTACCAGAGGGGTGGGGAGTCTAGTCAAGTGGGCTCATGAATGTCCACATAGATCAGGTGGATGAGAGGGAAGTAAGAATAAAAGCGAAGAGGAGATAAGCACCCATAACTATGAATGGTGGAAAATGGTCTTCTTCCCTCAGACAATATTCTGTTTGGCTTTGGGCAACTACAAATAAACTCACTCAAGCTCCAACAGGGTTGGCGGGGGCACATGGATAAGAAATGGCCCCCAAGGGGATCACATCGTTAGAAAAGGCCTCTTGAAGTATAAAGAGCAAAAGCATTAAACATGAGTATCTATAAGTGAAAATAAATTACGTGGGGAAACAACATGAAACAAAAGATATATTACTAACACAAATACATTTACTAGAGGGCTTTATATATTATACTTTTTTTTAGATCCTTGAAATGTTACGAGGGCATGATACCTAGTAATTTCTTACAACTCTAAACGTTCATAAATATTTTTGAAGGGGAAAATATATGTTTCATTGTTGTGCATGAAAGCTGAAAAGGCTATTGCAAAGTTATTCAAGTAGAAAAGATAACAATACTGAGGGAGCTTTTAAGAGTTAAGATTTATTTTACTGGTTCTTTTTAAGATTTAAGGAAGCAAGGGGCATGTGGAAATATTTTTCTTTAAATGAGAGCAGCAAAATGTTCAAGTGCTCTATCTCTTCTGCTAAAAGTGAGATGACTGAGGTTAAAAGATTCACTAAACATTGGTTATTCACATAACACGTAGCAAAATATGCTAAAGTGGCGTTAGGTGATAATTTTAAATAGTTCAATATCCTTAAAGTGAAAACACTGTTCCCACGAATGCTATGAAGTAATGGTAGAATTTTTACAAAAAGAAGAACTCAGATACTTACGGAGCAAGTTTTGCTGCAATGATTCAGACCGGTACAAGTTTACGTGGTTCTTCTTAAAGACGTTCTTGAGCAGTTGTGCCCTCTCTGTGAGGCTGCGGAGCAGTTGCAAACATGTGAAATGAGTGATCAGCTCAGCAGAGACCCCCGTGTGCCCACAGGACCACCAGAGAGACGTAGACTTAAACAAAAGATTGCCCGAGAAATCTGTAGTCCAGTGATTTGTTTTTCACCCCCATTTTCTCAGATAATGGGGTTTCAAGAGTTTAAATAGAGGACTATTTTGTCCCCAATAATCCCCACACCCCAGTTATGTTTCAGCCAAATGGAGCTACAGAGCTTGCACAATACAATTAATAAAAAATAAAAAAAATCTTCCAGTAGCTTCTTAGCTTCTAAAATCCTGGTTGGCTTATTACATATATTTTAAGCATGGCATTTTTAGAATTGAAAAATAAAAAATAATTATAAATTAATTATAAAAATAAAAATTTTTCCTACTTTGGATATATTTTGGTGCACAATATTCTTTCTTTGTTATGTAAAGAAACCCTGGAAATTATACAAAGAAGAAATTTCATAGGCTTTTTAATTAGAAAAATTCCATTACCACTTATATAGTATGAAATGTGTCCCTTAGTTTCATTTTAAAATAAAAGAACTATTTTCAGAAAGTAATCATAGTAGGTAAAATGTGACTGCAAAATATTTACTTTTCAATAAATGTTTAGAACAATCTCTTCCACAGGAACAAATTCACCTGATTAATTATGTAACTTTTAAAAGCACACTGCAAGAAATAATGCATCTATTTTTTTCTCACTACATGCAGAACTGTCTTACACAGTAGGGAATTCAAATATTGGCTAAATTCAGGAATTTGAATGATAATCCTGAAATGCTTTTTGAAACATCATCAATCCTCCCAATCAACTATTTCTCTACTGGTTGATTTCTAAAGCCTTGCTTTGATATCAAAGAACATAATAAGCATGAAGAGCTAATAAGTAATCTATATGCATTGCAGCAAATGTTTATACAATTTTGTTTTAATCACTGGAACTAACTCAGTTGAAAATTTTCCATCTTGTATTTTTCCCACTATAAAAACTTCAGTTAAATTGCTGTAAGTTATGTTAGGTCTGTATTTTGCCAGTGATTTTGAGACCCTGACATGGAACAATTTTTATCACATGTAAAAGAAAGAAAGAATCCTTTGCAAAATGAACTTGTAATTACACAAATATTTAGGCTTTTTCTAAAGTAAAATATTTAGAAATGTTGACATTTGTAGTAATCTTCCACACATATTTTTTAAAGTCGAGGGATGTTAACTGGTAATTATTAGACATACTTTATTGTCACCGGGAATTAGCTACATGAAGGCAAGAAAGCTAATTCATCTAAAACTCCAGTGGTTTTGCAAATATTTGTAAAACCTATTCTTGCCAGTGAAATAAACAGATAAGGAGAAGGGAAAGGGGCCCTTTTTACAGTCACTTATTTTTTTTTTTTTTTTTACTAACATTACAGCCCCGGGACCCTGAGGGACATTAAAATATGTAACTGCTTCAGGGAAGTGGGCAGCTTTAGCAGCAGGTGGCCTGATGTTGTTAGCAGAGCCTTGGCGGCTGGGGTGCTGGGAAGTAAAGTGGAAATGACTACGTTAGACTAGAAGGTTGTAATGTATCATTATACAGCTGCTTCTTCCCAAAATACACTTTCCAGGTTTCAGGCTGCCCTTTCAAAATGCCTAATACTTAAACATTACAACATCAAAGTGTTAAGAAGGCACACATGAGAATTTTGTCTTTCACATTATGGCAACTTACCTATATAAGATAATGCAATTTTGTTTGGTAACATTTCATACATGGCTACACTGAATTTCAATCATCTCTTCTATCAAGCCAATATTTTGTGTTCCAACAAAACAACAAAACAAAACAAAACAAACAGAAAGTCTTTTTTGGGAAAGAAGCACGTTACTGTGGAAAAAACATGGACTGCTAGCCGTCTTACTTTGTTTCATTCTGAGTCTGTTCCTTACTAGCTGGGCATCCTCAGGCAAACAAACCCTTCTCAGTCACCTCCTGTCCAACAGGAAGGCAACCCCTACCCCTCTGGCCACGGCGTAGCTTCTGGCACAGGGGAGGGCACTCAGAAAGCACTCACACATACCTTTCCCCTCACCGCTCCCAAGGTCCCCAAAAACTTTTTATAAAAAATCAACAAGAACAGAGATCATCACAAAGCAAAAGATGCTTTTGAGAGGATCACTTCTGATGCCTTGGTTTATATTCAACACTAGCTCAACACCAGATGTCTATTGTTACAGGAGTTTAATTTGTAATGCCCCCACTCCACTTCCTTAGCAGCCAACTACGAGGGTTTGTTTTTGTTTTTGGCCTTAGCTATCTATTACTTTAGTTCTTATGAACCGGGTCCCCCTCTAGAGAATATAAATGCCATGCATAGGCAGCTGCTTAATAAATAGTAAGTGATGATGAATTGTAGTTTTCTAGTCTTATCCTACCTTAATTAGGGAACTACTACTCATCAGATTGAAATTATACAATTGTGTGACACTGACATTTATAGGTACTGATATTACTATGAAGTCACATTATAAAATATACTGGTAACATGTTAACCATTAATAGGTGTGTTTAAAGTTCAGTTTTTGGTGAATTGCTGAACACAGGGTGAGAAAAGTCTCAAAGATTCCTTCTCACTAAAACTGCATCTTCTGTACAACTCTTATTTAGTAGTTTTACTCAATCTTGTATGGTCTTTCATTTACATATCAAGCTATGCAAATTATGAATTTGTTTAATGTGATTACATACACAACCACCACTTAAATAACATTACTTTATTTTCAAGCTCACTAATTTTTGCAACTGAGATACCTGGTGGAGGTGAGGTGGAAAGATAGCATGTTTCAAAACAGTACTTCATTTTGAAACATTAAAAAGTATAGGTAAAACTCCCTTATTGCCCCAGAACATGTTGTCACAGGTATTTTCAGTAATCTTTTAAGAGTGGTAAACTCTCATCTGTCTTTATATTGGGTTGCCAGGCTATTTTGGTGGACTCATTGGAATGGATCTCCTCTGGAAAGTAAATAACCCTTTGTTCATCGACTGTTTTAATGTGCAGCACGGGACAGCTGTCCTGCACTAGGTGGTACTGTTGGTGGGGAGATGAACAATGAATATAACCAGCCTGATCTCTGCTCTGGAGGACAGAGTATTGCATTGTCCTGTGACTTTTCTTTACAAATGCTGGACAGAACAATTGGCACAGTGATGAGTAGGCTGGGAAAATTATCTGAAATGTCTGCCTATCCTGAGCCCCAAGAAATGTATGTAATACTGGTATAAAATCCAGTGTAAAAATTGAGACATATAGTTTCTTTTATATTAGTTCTTGGGCAATGTTATAATTGCTGTTTATTAAAATAAATAATACAGGAAAAGACTGGGAGAGACCACCATTGCCATCTACATGACCAAATTATCTGCTATCCCTGCTTTCCTACCCTCTTCCTTAAAGCTAAGGCCATGGACCAAGGTGATGGGCAAAGCAATGAGGACGGACCTGAAGATCCTGGGCTAAAATTCTACTTACTAATGGCTGCTGCTGATATCCTGGTTAATGCCTACAGTTAGATATAAAAAATTAAGAGTCTTACTATCATATTGGTCTGTCTGTAAGATGTACTGTTTCACATGCATATAAAAATATCCCAAAATAACTGCCCTGTCTCCAATGAACCCTGTATCTATAATCTCTTATTTTAATCCTTTGGGTTTTGAATTTACATTTTTTTAAAGAGGAAATAAGATGTTACACACAATTTGTAGAACTAATACCCTCAAGTGGGATCTGAGAGGCCCCCCAAATTAATATTTCTGCTATAAAATGTATAAACATTTACATTATAGAAAAAATAAACACTATTAATGTCCTTGTATTTATAGAACAAATGGTTTCATTTTTTTCCAGGAAAGGTTTGCTATAAACCTATAGGAAAAAATTGGTTTTTGAAAAAAAAAATTTTTTTTTTTGATTTTGGAATCATAGATGCCTCTGCTCCCTAGTGTTGCAGCATGTCTACGTGGGGGTCACAGCAAAGAGCAGGGTCTCACTCATGACATTTTCTTATTAAAAAATAATTAGCCATGGCTACATAGTGTTCAGGGGTAAGGTTTGGATTTATTCTGCCAAAGATTTAGGCTTAAATCAATTTCTACTAATATCCATGGCTCAAAAGCAATATACTTAAAATGATGAAATACACTTTCCCCCCAAAGTTTTGATGTAAAATTGGAATATACCTAATTCACTGGGTAATATGGTAAGTGGCATACTATTTCCTCTAAAAAAGACTCATTATTTTAACTAAAATGTTTTAATTTTTGACAATGAGTAAAGACAAAAATTAATCATTGCAAATATTGATCTGGATACATTGCTTACAAGTTACAGTTTCTCTGGCAGAATTTCATTTTCTGTATTGCTTGACATAATAGCATCACTTAGTGGAGATTAAAAAAATTAGGGATGATCAACTCACAAGATCTACTTTAAGAATTGCATCATTCTATGACAAAAAATGTAAACCATTATTATTCTGGACATAACTAGTTTGGGAAGTGTAACTTATGTGTCAAGAATTCTATGTTATTATGTATCATATTTTTAATTAACTACCCACAGGTCAACCATCTATTTACCACTCACTAGTCTATACTTTCTTCTACTCACCCTTCCTTCCTTTCCTTTCCTTCCTTCCTTCCTTCCCTCCTTCCTGCCCTCTTTCCCTTGACCATTCATTCATCCTTTTGCCACCTATTTATTGAGTGCAACTACCTTCCTGGTGCTATGCTGGGTGTTGGGTTCCAAGGCTAAGACCTCTCCTTAGGAGTTCAATCTAGTAGGAAACAAACAAACATAGGGTAAACAAATACATAATATAGGTAATAAGTATAGAAACAGAGGAGTAAGCAAAATGTAGAGAGTAGGAATTAGCTGTATTTGTGAAAAGTTGAGGTAATTCCATCTGAGCTGGGTGTTGCAAGCTAGGAATTGGAGAGCCAGGTCTGTGCGAGAGTATCAGCTTCTAGATAAGGGAAGAGCATGTGCAAATAAATACTGGGAGGCATAAAATAACATGGTGTTTTGGAACTAAAGGAAGTCTGATATTGCTAAAATACATAGAAATCCCATTTTCTCCCTCTTTGAACATGTAGATAAAGCCTTGGCTGGTGTGGCTAGTAGACTGAGCACCAGCCTACGAACAGAAGGGTCACTGGGTCAATTCCCAGTCAGGGCACATGCCTGGGTTGAGGGCCAGGTCCTCAGCAGCCAGCACGTGAGAGGCAACCACACATTAATGTTTCTCTTCCTCTCTTCTCCCTCCCTTCCTCTCTGTCTAAAAATAAATAAAATCTTTAAAAAGAAAAGAAGAAAATGTAGATAAAATTAGTGGACTTTAAAAAATTTGACATTAGTATCACTGTCCAAGATTCCTAAAATAATCCTGGCTGTAAAATCAATCTGACAGTTCCTTACTGCCTCTGAATGCAATGAGTTCAGCATGAAAACTTTTCCAACTAGTTTAGGCTTTTCTCTTTTCCCATATCTTTTCTCTTCCTCCTCCTCTAGCTGTCACCTAGCAGGAGGACACTGGCCATGCTGGGCATCAGCACCCTTCGGTCGCCCACAGGCAGCAGCAGCAGCATGGGATACGTGTTGTACCAGAGTTTTTTGTCTGTGGTATTCAGCTAATAGCCAACTCATTTGAGTGCTTGAGAAAAGCTGAAGAGTTATTTTAGGCAAGTGAGCTGGGCAAGAGAGGACATCGATCTGATGCATTTTCTCTGGAGAAGTTGGAGGTCATGTATGGTGGGATTCACTTCTTTCCTTTTAGACTCTCTTACTTTATTTCATGGAAGGGGCTATATACATCACAGACTTATCAAATCTTTAGAATCTAGAGGTCATCGCACCAAACTCTCAACCTGATTTATGAGTTGTCAGCAATATACCACAAACCACAAAAGTTAAATGTCACGTGGAGGGCCTTAAGGTAAGTTTTATTAACACGCAAATATGAGAAATTTACTCCTGAGGATAATAACAAGTATCATCAGAGGGCTTTCTCTAATGGTAGTTAATCAATGGTTTAATTTTGTGGACTAGAACTCTTAGCACATCCTTTCTATAGCCGGGATGAAAGAGAGCAAAAGCATTTATTGAGAGACTATTCGTGCCAGGCCATTGGCACAGAGTTGGAAATTTTTAGATGAAAGAGCAGAGATAGAGGGGAAGGTGGAGGGAGGAGAAGAATGTCTCTAACACTGAAAATAGGTCTAATCTACCCCATCGCATACACCGGCATGCCGATTTAGAGAGGTCAAGGACTTTCTCGGGTCAGTGGTAGGCTGTTTTTGCTGCTCTTTCATGTTCTTGAAAAGGTAGCAGAAGGAGGCAGAACGGTGAATGGCTGGGAACAGGGCCTTGAAAAGCCATGGACAGGGGCTCAAGGCCCAGCTCTGTCACTTCTGATTTTGAGAACTTAGTCTCTCTAAGCCCCAGTTTCCCCACTTGGGATAAATGGGGGTGATGGATTTGTATGCAGTTGTTATAGGGATTCAGTGAGGTAGTAACTGTGAAGTGCTGAGTGCAGCACCTGGCTCGCAGTAAGTGCTCAACAAAAGCCAGTGCTAATATTTTAAGAGAGGCACCAGCTGGTGTGTGAGGTGCCCTTAGGCCACAGGAAAGCAAGTGAGGGCTGGCAGCCATGGTCTCAGCTTATGTTCCCAGCCTGACACTTGCTCCGCTGCTTCACACAGAATAACAACAGTGGATCATGAGGAAGGTGATACATGCCTGGGCAAAATATTTCTTAGGGTTTAGACAAAACTTTAGCCTATTTGCACGTGATGAAAGAGAAAAAAAGTAAAGACCTGGCATTATCATCATAATTGTGGTTTATTAGAGATGGCTTCAAATAATTTTAATTTTCTTTTTATAATGCTTTGTGAATTTGGCAAATTTGATTAGCTTTCTAACCTTGCTTTTTTGGAGGTGGTGGTGGGGAGGAAAGGACTTGGAAGACCTTAAGTCCCTTCATATATGACAAAGGCCTAGGTCAGTTCTTAATCATACGCTGAGACACACATGCAACCATAGGGCGCTCTGCCCTAAGTCAAGCTCTGATTTGCGTGACACACTAATGTATTATGGGTCCTGTGTGAGGCTGAAAGTCTTCTTTCCCCTTTCAGTTCAGTAACACGACTATTTGTAGCTACCGTTTAGTTAGTGCTCATTAAGCACCCAACACTGAGCTATCTGCTTTATCAGTAGTATTTTTATTCAATTGTTACAACCAGCCACGAGGGAGGTCTTATCACCCCCATTTTATAGATGAGGAAACGGAGGCTCAGTAGCACTGAGCAGCTTGGCTAAGGTCACACACAGCTTACGGAAATGATAGACTTGATTTGAATCCACATCTCTCTGATTCCAAGATCTGTCAATGACACTGTTAGCTCCTTGTTAACGGATAAAATATAAGTTTTACCATTTACTTCCAATCTCTAGTAAAAGAAAAAATTAAAGTTCACTTGGAAAAGACCATATTCAGTGTAGTTTACCTTTTTCCAAGCACGACTGCTCCGGGGTCTTGAGATTTTGCCTCTAGCTCCTGAACTTCATCTACTAATGTTTTAAAAGCAGTCCTCTTGATACTGCAAAAAAAATTTTGCATGAAAATATTTGTGTGAAGACTAAGGAACTCACAAAACTGGTTTATTATCATGCTTCTAAGTACAAGAGTGACCAGAGTAGAAATAATAGTTTTTCAAAAGAATATAAAAATTACAATGATTTTGAACATTAATTACAGAAACAATAGTCTTAAAATAAATGGCTTACGTTTATAGCATTCAAACTCTCATAGTTACTGAGTAAGTATCATGTAGCTAACTTTAATGGTACTGTTTTTATGGGGAAAGATAATATTTTCAAACTTATAACCCTTCAGTAAATTAGTAAAATTTTATAGTTCTATGATTTATATATGTTTAGAATCAGGCAAGCAAAAAACTTCATTTCACAAGCACTGTTTACTAATAAAATATATATGTTTGTGTTGGAAGATAAGAGAATTTTTCTTCTACCTCGGCTGGGTTTTACAGGGTAATTTCTAAAAACACACTCTCTAATATTAACTGAAACTGCCTGCTTTACTTCTTATTCTGCCTTTTAAGCTAATTTAGTTTTCCAGTTCTTCAATCACTCCTTTCTTCTTTACGTATGTAGAATACATGAATATTACTAATTCCTACTTTGAAAACTCCTCATTCTTGAGTTGATGTTACAAGTAGCGAAATCTGTGGGTTAACATACATCCACGTTTTTATGTACACAGCTGAGCGCCCTACTTACACCTTGTACGCCACGTCAAGAAGCAGAGACGCCACAGGGATGAACAGCAGGCCTGTCCAAAAGACCCCGGAACCGAACAGCATGGCTGCCTGAGGAAACCACCAGAAACTGTGTTATTTAAAAACCAGGAAACACATTGTTCATGTTTCGTTTTATATCATTTTAAGTAAAATAGTTTTAAGAATCTCATTCTGAAAGAGGGTATATACTACAATAACTAAATTTAAACTTGTGAAATTAAAAGCCAAATGTTAAGTTAAAACGTGTATTTACTATAGCTATTTTTTCCCTTTTGAGTGTCTAATACAGCAAAGTTTTATTATGTACCAAGTCTTTTCATATTTTTATGTAAGATTTTTATTAGTGTGGAGAAATAAACTCTGATTTTCTTTTATAACTTAAAATTATCTCTGACCTTCATTAATATCTTTAAGATATAAAATCAGTCTTTTTGAGAAAATTCAAATATGTTCTGGATTAAATTCTCTTATAATACAATATGTAAAATAAATCCGACTTAGAAACTAACTTTACAATTCTGCAAATAAAAATTAACTACTTTTAAAAATATCAATATTAAAAATCATCCAGATAAATCATGAATCCAGTATAATCAAATTAAGATATCTATGACAATGATTTTACTATTTTCAACTGATATTATATATGATAATCTTAAGTTTTGTTCAAAGATTTACATAACTTGCATTGGTACATTCTGTTATTACTAAAGTCAAATCAAATATCTAGTATGCAAAACTCAAATAGAAGTGTATTAAAATAATTTTAACCATTATTTTGTATCAAATCCCAAGTTGCTATGTCAATTTTGTGTTGTAAAAAATGATTCTATGATAACAAAATTAATAAACTCTGTTGGTTATTTGTAATTATAATAAAATTCCTTTGTAATACAATAAGATTACACAGAACTTAAAAGGAATATGTCTTACAATAAAACCAGAAGGAATATTCTGTTTCACTTCAAGTCGATTTGTTTATCAAGAATAAATTTGCAGTAAATTATTATTATAACCCCATTAAAATGTAGCCAACTAATGCATGTATATTTACACTCTACTAAAAATCACACAGAATTTTGTTTTTAACTATGTGTGATTCAGGAATTAAAAAATGATCTAGAGTTTAATTCTCATAGGCAGTTTCAGAATTACACACAATCCTAATCAATCAATCCTCATCAAATAAAAATATTACAAATTTTAAATTATGTTTCAAATTACCTACTCATTTTGACTTTCAATTGAAAATCAGGAGCTGCTGTTTAAATTCTTTTTACATGAACATGGGCTTATAGATACATGCTGTCGGTTCACGAATGCTAAGATTTTTCCCTGTATAGGCTCAAAAGCTCTGAATACTGTTTTAATAAAAATGCGCCATCACAAAAAATTTCAGAAAATAAATGTTGCCACGTGGACTCAGTGACATAGCACTCATATTCTAGACACCTAAAAGTCACATAAAAGTCACTTTACTTTATAAGCAAAACGTGATTTTTGACGTTTGCTGACATCCTCAATAGTGAAAACCACAATAACTATGTAATAGGAAATGTCTATCCAGTCAGTGGGTTTTGTTTAGAGTGAAGGAAGCTTTTTAGTAAGGTAGGGACTGTAAAAAACCACGTTTCTTTGTCCTCCTGGGGGGAGAAGGTAAGATTCAACATTCTAAGTCACGTCACCGAAAATACCATGTTTACTTGGCTTACTTTTAATTTATTTTAATTGAGGGTGCAAGAGGAGAAAAACTTATTCTTGCCTTTGCCACCTTGTATTAAATGTCTGCTGATGGAAAAGGCAAAAGTGCCGGTCAGGAGGCTGGAGGCTGCTAATTCTGACCATTGTGATGTTAACTGGCGCTCACTATTCAGTCCACCAGCCTTGGGCTTTACAAACGAACATGAATTGAGGGAAAAAAAGTTTTTCTGCGTCATATCTGAAAGCCTGTCAGATTTTTTTTTCTTTTGCAGAGTTAATCCAAACCTAAAAGATTTAAAGCTGGCATTCGCATTAAAGACAGAGAGTCTCTGTATTTTTTGGATGAAGAGCGGGGGGAAAAAAATCCCACAGAGGTATTTCCTTCCTTTCTGTACAAGAACGCTCCCCCTCCCTCTGCAGAAACCATTTTTGTCTCTAACTTTTCACATGTCTCCACTCGCAGGCAGGTCAGCTGGGGAAAGGCGCCCGCCCCATCCCTGCACACAATGGGCAAACAGGAGCAGCCTGTTTGGGGCTGGGCGCACGCTCCCTCTGAGACCGGTTTGCAAAATGCTCCTAACGTGGGAGATCTTTGGGCCCTGCCAAGCGGCCCCCACAACCCCTCCCTGAGGCCCCGTGAGACCAAATGGAATGGGCCACAAAAGTGGCTCCCGGGGGGCTGGAGACAGGATCAGCCAGGGGAGACTTAAAGCCGTAACTGGAGGGCACAGGCCCTGGCTGGACAAACAACCACTTGTCTTTGGAGTGACACTGGGTCCACATCGGACCACGCAGCCTTCGAGAAGTGAAGCAGTGCTGCCTGAAAATGCAAGATGCAGCAGGGGAATGAGGGAATTGTCCCGAAATTTCCATGTGAACTTGCAGGGAAGGAACATTTGAGAAAATGTGAACTCATACGCATTTAGCTAAGCCAAGGGCCCTGACCAGATCAGAGGAGCAATTCCGTTCCCACACCAGGGGGGAACACCTACTTCTTCCCTTTCAGGGTCCCCAAGTTCAGTCTTATAGGAGAAAGAATTTCAACGTGCATACCTGCCTACAGCCCTTCGGCAAAGGGGTTCTTAATTCTACCCCTCCTTTTACAATGCTGCGCTATGACTCATTCTTGGATAGAGTACAGATGCTGTCTAAACCAGCAGGCCCTTTGGGGAACCTAGGATGGTATCTGCGGACCCCAGCTGGAGCATGACTGGGACAGACAGCCCTGAACCCTGGTCCTGGCTCTGCCCTTCTTCCCGGCTCCCAGACTTCGGAGAAGTGACTTCTGAGTCTCTGCTTTTTCTCAGCTGTAAAGCGGATTGTAAGAATTAGACCTGATAATGTTTGCAAAGTGGCTGCTTTTAGTAACACTGATTAATAATAAACTTTTCCTTTCTTCATTTTAATTTTCAAATTTTTTTAGACACACCAGTCTTCTTCCAAGTGGTCTCTCCCATGAGCTTCAAGGAAGGAAATTTTTATTACCATATCAAATTAAGTGTGAGTCAGTTTATAAATGTCATGGTTTCATCACAATAACATCACAAAATATGCTTGTCTTAAGTCTGATACTGGCCAGAGTAACTGACCACTAATAAATTCTCATTTATCACAAGTTGCTAATTTAGGAAGAGTAGATAAACTTTATTCATAAAAATTACTGAAGACTGCATGGGCGTAATATATTAAGTTTGAAAGGGAAAATGATTCAGAAACTAGTGCTGTAAAACTTAGTTATATTTTTGGGGGTGTGTGGAGACAAGCAAGATAAATTAATATAAATTCCAGTGTGGTTAAGAGTTAATGTGAATAACAACAAAAGACCCAAGAAGTGATTATTAAGTATTTAAAGTTTTACATAAGGACTTTCTTAGCTTCAAAAACAGTAGGAAAATGACAAAAATGCTTTAGAGAACTGATTCATAAAAACATAGAAGCTCCACAGGTTTAAAAAGAACATCACTAAAAAGCAAATGAAAAACAAAGATGACTGTTACACATTTATAAAACTCTACAATAATATCTGATTAAAGAATAGACCACTTATCTTTTTGTGAGAAGGTACTCACAAAAGCAGCGGCAATTAATCAATAACTTGGAAAGGGGCGGAGTTTCCATGTAGTCATAGAAACAATGCCAAATCAGATCAGATTTAAATTCACTCTCACAGTTGAGGGGGGTATGGTGAAACAGGCCTTTGTAACAATTTATATATCAGCAATGTACTTGTCTTTGGGAAAGGTATTTGGCAATGTGTACCAAGGACACATGTTCATTCCTGTTAAGATGATAACGTAATTTCTAGAACTGCATGTGGAACTTTAGGGCAGCTTTTACATTTGGGTTAGGATCCCGTAAAACTGTTCTGTGGTCACTAATCCTGAAAGCACTTCCCCTAGAAAGCGAGCCATGGCCCAAGGTTCAGTAAAGGTATAAACAAACCACAGCAACACCCTCTTGGAGAGTCATTCATAGCAGAGTAGGAAATTTAAGGCTTTGAGAAATCACAGCAAAGGGCCCTACTCAGTAGTTTTTTAAACCAAGATTTCCAAATGTATTTATCGACCTTGGCACATTTCCCCCACACGTTGCTTACTAACCACCCATGGAACTCATTTAGGGGAAATGCAACTATTCATTGTGGGTGTTTTAAAAAATAGTAAAACATTAGTGAAAACTAACAGGACACACTATGTGGCTGGTTATGTAAATGTACACGCATTAAGAGAGTATTATCCAAGCTGTTAATGATGCTGTTCACGAAATGCAACTAGAACCGCAGCTCCCTACACCACATCCAGCGTATCGCCAGGTTCCACTGTGCTTCAGCACCTTCGGAATCTCTCTGCTTTCTGCCAAGCCTGCTGCCAATATTCCAGTCCGGACATTTGCCTGTCCTCCCAACAGTCTCCTCGCTGGACTTCCTGACTCATTTTGCGCTGCGTCTAGCCAGCAGGCACACTGCAGCCAGAGGGGACAGCTCCAAAGTGCACATTAGATTTTTGCAGTTCTTGGATTAAACCCTTTCAATGGCTTCGTATTACCCTTAGGATAAGAACAAAGTCCTTACTACGACTTCAAGACCTTTGCTACCTGACTTCTGATTGCTTCCCCCACAAGGCCTCTCCAGGCAGTCCCACCTCGACCCACACAATGTGTTTCAGGTCCTGCACTGCGCCCGTCCCTGCTCTCAACCTCGGGCCACTGCATCTGTGACTGCTGTTTGCCCCTCAATTTTCACATCGGATGTCACTTCCTTCCTTAGACTTGGGTTAGCTGACCCTGCTTTGGGCTTTCTTTTTGATGGCACCTGTCACCCATTTTCTGGTTGCTCTTTTGTCTTCCTGTAATCTAATCTCTGTAAGAGG